TCTGGAGAACTAGAGAACTGTTTGCAAAAACCAATCTTGAAAATGCCCATACAAGTAGTCAGTCAACAAAAATTTTGATAGTCCACTTATCTACTCATATTGATGCCACACTGAAGACCTAAGAATGAGGTTTTTCACATTTTTTAAAAAAGCTTCCTCTCTGGTCACTATCAATAGTCTGGCCTGGAAAAAATTAGCCAAAGTGCAAACAGATTGGATTTTTTTTGTTCATCTCAGCTTGGTAGAAATGGAAACTAGAATTACTGGTTGACTAGAAATGGATGCATGTTCCACATTTCCCTAGCAAAATGTTATGGTTTTTAAGGAAGGCGTTTAAATGAGGAAGCTCTGGTCTACAACAAAAAAGCAGATGCACGCTGAGTGCTTCTTCCTCAAGGAAGTATATATAATAAAGTTTATGGGAATGGTAGAAAGATACTGGGTTCAACCTTAAGACTAGATCCAAAGGTATCATTCCACTCACAGTCCTCTTTTTGTGACTGCAAGGTTATTGATGGATACGACCTTAGAGTCAGGCCCAACCCAATGTATTTTTCTTAAGTTAATGAAGACTTATAACAGACTGCCCTACACTGACATAAAGTTTGAGTGAGATAAAGGACCTAGTAGGTTTTGTTGTTGTTGAAACTTTCTCCACTATGGAAACCACTTGGGGACCTTATTGAGTAAAGCTTTGACAAGTAAGTTTCCTGGGAATTGTCTTTAAAGGGAGATTACTATGCAAGTTTCCAACATGATGTATTTAGAAGCTCTAAAATCGACTGCACGTCGCCAACTCAGTGTTAGTCCTCTTCAAATGCTCCAACCTCTGCGCTTCAAAGGATGCCCCTAGCTCATCATCTAGCAACACTTCAGAAACGGACTGTGAAACAGCCCACCTGAATTTGTTCTTGCTGCCGATTTTCAAGACCAATGTAATGGCGTTGGCATTGTTCCTTAGTTGTGGGAATAGGAACAGTCAACATTAGCACCCAAAAATATCAGTGCTGCTTTCTGTTTCCTCCAACTTCACAATAGCAGTCTTTCTGATTTTTGGCTGTTTCATTCCCTGGTTGGGGTGGCCTGTGGACCCCTCCTCTACCCTTAAGGCTAAAACCACCAAATGCTACAGCTGCTAGACATGAAGCCCTTTTGCTTTAGGGATACGTTCTCTTCTACCTCCACCAACCTTTCTTTCTTCCCCATCCTTCCTTCCTACACTCTTGTCTCTGCTGGAATTAAATCAAGCTGAGCCCTATGCACTAGTAGCTTGACTTCTATTCCAAGAACGTCCACCACATAATGGTTCTTGGCTCAAAACTTCCTTCTGCCTCATCCCAGAAATACTGAGCCTGTCCCCACCAACCAAAGGCAAGATTTCCAGCAAGCCCTGACTAAAACGATGGCAGTGATTAATGTGTTCACAGACAGATGGTTTGATAGGTTAGCTACCAGACAGATGGTTTGATAGGTTAGCTACCAGACAGATGGTTTGATAGGTTAGCTACCAAACAACCATACTAAAAACTCCGAGGACATATACCTATGCTGCCAAACTTAATTGGATCCAATAGTCATGCTTCTTTCCCAGGGAACTCAAAGGCTGGAACTAGGGATCACCAACAACATTTTCAGCACTAGCAATGAACTACACTTCCCAAGATTTATTGGCAATGTTAGTTAAAATGGCACAAAACAGATACATAGAGATGCTCAAACAGGCTATTTAAATCTTTGGAACAGTAAGGTGAATGATCAAGCATAACGGCAGGTATCTTCTTCTTTGTTATTATCAGTGGTTCGGTTCCCAACTTTGAAATAATAGATTCATAACCTCATTGCCCAACTGCAGAGACCTTCTAGCTTCGCCATACATCCATGCCTTCTGATAAGCCCACTTAAGAGTCCCAGCTTCAGATTGTCTCATTAGTTGTGACAGACAGCTTGTTTGTCACAAGCTGTAGGTCAGATGGTAATCTTGCGTTTGAATGGCACCACCACAGATCACAAGATGAAACAGTCTTCTGTCCTGCCCCGTCCCCAAAATATTCTCCACACATTAAAAAAAAAAAAACCTGGAAGTTCAAGAAGAGAGCAAGGCTAGAACCCCTTTTCCTGGCACTTAGCTCCCTATGGGTGTGCCTACCACCATGTGAAAAAGCAGCATACCACCATGGAACTCCCACATGTGGACTGAGGCACATGGTCCAGACTGCGTTTTCGAGCTAGACTTATGATGAAAAGATGGGATCTGCATGGACAAAAGCCAAGTGGACCAGAAGCTGCAGTAAAGAAGGGAATTGGGTGAGATTCTGTGAAACAGCTGACTAGCTCCAACACGGTTATTTGCTCCTTTTACTTGAGAGTCCAGAAATACAAACCTGAGCCTTTACCTCAGCCCTATTTCGAACTGGACTGACTCTTCATGGAAGGAGGAGTACTCTTAATTGCAGCTCTTGGATTTAGGTTTGCCACCTCCGAGTTGGGAAATACTTGGGTGCAGACAGAGAAAGGTGGAATTTGGGGTGGGGAGGGACTTCAATGGGGTATGATGCAATAAAGTCCACCTTCCAGATGAACTGATCTCTGTTGCCTGGAGTTGTAATCCCGGGAGATCTCCAGCCACCACCTGGGAGTTGGCAACCCTATTTGGACTCCTGAACATTTTCACCATTATTACCTCCAAACTCAAATAGTCATTGTTATTACCCCCAAATTCAAATATGATTGTTATTACACTCAAACTCAAATACCCCAAAATTCAAACATTTATATATTTTAAGGCTGCACAGATTCTCCCCTTTTGTTCTAAGGAGACGCTACAACTTCTCACAGGTGCAGCATATTTAAGCGTTATGAAGAATTCACCTAAAACTTGTCAAGCATGAATGTCACACAATCACACATTTAAAAATAAGTGTGTCGTGTCGGTTCATGTATCCTCAGCGCTAAACCTGGCTGCCTTGTAATGTGTGAATTGGCATTCAGGACGAGAAGATTAAGATTTAAATTCTGGAAAATGTATAGACTTTTTTCCTTTGTCCTGATACTATTTTTTCCCCCTTTTTGCAGAAGTGGAGACTAACTCTAAGGGGAAATGGGACATATGGTTATAAACCAGGGAGACATCATTATAAGTCAGTAGATGAGGGCTGGCATTGGATGGGGAGAAGGTATTGAAACTCCCAGTGTCCAAACTGCATCTGCACACGTACATTACAGGAATATTTTAAAAATACACGGTGTACTGAGAACCTCAGAGGGAAGGTGGCATGGTATAGCCGGATCTCATCAGATCTTGGAAGCTAAGCAGGGTCGGTACTTAGATGGGAGACCACTATGCAGGCACATAGCGACAGTGGGGCATCTAGGGGCTAGGCCCCCTGACTTACTTGCAAGGCCCCACGACTTCCCATCCAACCCAGGGCCCCTGAGTGGTGGCAGGTGTGGGGAAGGAGCCAGATATTCCTTTAATTCGATTAGCCAGTGCCCCCTAAGAAATTTAAATGCCCCCCGACTTTAAAAATCCTGGCCACAGGCCTGCCACCATGGAATACACCATGCAAGGAAAGGCAACAGGAAAGCATCTTTGCTTCTCACTTGCCTTTAAAGCCCATTGCTGGGGTTGCCATAAGTCAGCTGTGACTTGAAAACACACACGTCCATACTAGGCTTGCCTGCTCTGAGTTGGGAAATACTTGGAGATTTTGGGGGTGCAACCTGGGGAGGGTGGGGTTTGGGAAGGGGAGGGACTTCAGTGGGGTATAAAGCCATGCATACTCTGCTTAGCACTGCACTGTGAGTTAGCTCACGGGTGACAGATGAAACAATCTTAAATTTCAATACTGGATTATTATTTTTTAAAGAAACCTTTGCTCTAAAGTATCTTGAGAAGGATTGAGCAACGTGCAGAAAAACTCAATAAAATCCCATTTTTAGGAATGAAATTGTTGACCAAAACGGATGGACAAAGGGAGCCGCTTGACCCTTAGGCAGACAATATGGCTTTCTCGCTCGATATCGCCCATGCAGATCAGCAGTGGCTTGCCAGTATCTCAGGCAAATGGTCTTCCCCAAGCCGACATCCTGAGATCCTCTTTTGAAACCAAGAAGTTGAATTTAGGACTGAATGCATGCAAAGTCTTCGCTTTACCACTGAACTATGGACCTTTCCTCCAAACCCAGACCCACTGACTCTAGCGATGGAAGCATACAGTAAAGTGCAGGAGGCTCCAATACCAAAGTGAAACAGCCATATACTTTCATCCCCCCTGGTTTGATCTTGAGTTTCTATCAAAGCTGTTAAAGTCTATCTGTTTCTGGTGGGGTCTAACATCAACTCTGTTATCTTGTCCTCGATGCAGATAAAACTTGCAGCTGTCATAACGAAAACAAACAACACACAATATTGCAATACTGAGACCATCTTTGAGCTTAAGACTATTTTAAAAAATACTGGCACAAAAATTAATAAAATAACATTTTTTTTACAAATAAAAAAAAGATTTGGTCCCTCCTGATGAAAATCTGCTTTTTTTTTTTTTGAGAAATGCAAAGTTAGCTAGGACCACAGTTATTGGCTATTCCAATGTGTTTTCCCTGCAATGTAGAATATTCTGTGCCCTTAGACTATCTCCCTAACTCTCCCAAAAATCTTTCCTTGGGAGGCTTTCAACCTTGTGGATTGTCAGTTTAGGATCCCAGGTGGTGGATGACCGATAAATGCATTCAATAATTGCAACAGGGTGGTTTTAAAAACAAACAAAATTTTTAAGCTCTCCCTCCTGACTTTTGAAATTTTAACCTCCAATAAAACTCTTCAAGAACATCCACATGCAAAAGCTCTTTCTCCTCCCAACTAAAACTATGTCACAGTTTTGTCCAAATGCTTAGTATAACCCATCCCTGTGCCACCAATGTAAATGTTGAGCTTCTCTCCAATAGAAAATCATGGCAGTGGAAAAGGAAGTAGAAAGTCCAATAGGATTTCTAGGTGGACGCACGGAATCTTCTGCAAGGGCTTCTTTGCAGTCCCCGCCTCCTGTTCATTCATCAGCATCGGGTTTGACATCCAACATGGCATGGAGTTCTTCAGGCGTGTATCCCAGCAAGCTCTGCAGGTCGCACACAAAACGGTAAACGTACCGTTTCCCGGCAGTCTTGTGGATGATGTTCTTGTCGTAGTAATAGCGCAATCCACGGCTCAGCTTCTCGTAGTTCATTTTTGGCTTGTTTTTCCTCTTGCCCCATCTTCTTGCAACCTGGAAAGGTGGAGCCCACCATCCCAAAATGAATATGTTATTTTTATAGGGAGGCACTGTCTGTACTGTCAAGTCGCTTCCGCTAACAGAAGCACCTTCGTCAGCAGAACAGAACTTTCCTGTCTCCTTCCCTCCCTCCCACTGTAGCCCACCCGTTGATTGCCCTGAAATGCGGCTCCCGGGAGACAGGAGACCCTCAGCAATGGCATGGGGGGGAACTGGGCATCTGCAGGAGGAGAGGGAAATTATGCCGTTAGCTGGAAATTTAGTCTGCATCCAACCCCACACGAGGATAGTAGAATTGGAGGACTGAGGGTCATGGTCAGAGAGATGCCATGGGATAAGGATAAAGACAAGGTGCAAAATGCTCATGGAGAGCTTCAAATGTATAGAGAACAAATCTGTGCTGATGAGGGAAGCCAGTGAAGTGCACAATAAGACATCATTTGGATTGGGGGGTTTGTTTGTTTTTAAATAAAGGGGAGTCATTTCACTCCCCCCCATTAATTCATTAATGCAAAGCACATGGAGGCCCATACCACCCATACCTCATCAGGATCAGAGAGCTTGAATTCCCAACCATCGCCTGTCCAGCTGATAAAGGACTGGCAGGACTTGTCCGTGAGAGGGTCCCGCAGGAATTGCCACAGTTGAATGGGTCCGCTACCTAGGAGAAGAAAAGGAGCACACGTAAACAAGGGAAATGCTATAAATGGGGTCTTCTCCACTATACAGGCACCCCCACAAACACATATGCACACATAAATACACCTTGATTTCCACGATCGATACAACTTGTTAGGTGACTCAGAATTATCTATACAACCAATCCTGCCCTTCCCCCATGGAGGTTAAGGTGGCATACATTATTCTTCCCCGTGCCACTTTCCCCTCCCAACAACACTGTGAGGAAGACTAAGAAGAGACTGACTGACTTAGGATGTTGCATAACTGAGGGGGATTTCAACCCATCAGGCCTATTCCAGCATGCATTTCTAACTACTATACCATATCGGCTTTCAATATAAGAAGTTTCAGGAACCTGAGACATTTGCTTTTACTTGCTACTCTTATAATCTGCAGTACTTCAAATTACCTTTTCTAAGTATACTTGGCCCCTGGTCACACGGAGCATTAGGCACGCTAGAGAGACGGAAGATAGGCGGATTTTCCGAGCGCGATCTCACCGCCAAATCTGGGAAGTGTAGAGCTCCCCTGGCGCACCCGAGGCTTCCCGCTGAAGATGTGGGGTAAAAAACTAGTACCTCGGAGGTACTAGTTTCCGGAAACCGCGGGGCAAGGGCGGGCGTCTGATCACGTTTCCAGTGGTAGTTCCGGCGCCCGCCCATGTCCCCTTGCAAAAAGGTTTTCCCCCCCCCCAAATCTCCACGGATGCGCACAAGCACCCAACAGAGCATGCGCACATTTAAGTTTTAAAAACAAAACACAACCCCGTTTGCTGCGCCGCTCCGCTTCTTTGCCACGTGTGTTGATCGGCACCTCCCCCCTAACCACGGGAGCTCGACGGGACCTCAACCCGAAGCCTGATCGCACAGCCGCGCGTTAGTTTGCTCCGGGGCAAACAGCCACGCCTCCCCCACGCATTTTCCTGCCCGTGTGGCCGAGGCCTTGGAAAGGCAGATAAAGCCTGAAATTATGGAGTAATGGTCATTTGGAAGACCTAGGTGCCTGTAAGGGAGTCTGGGGCTTGAACCAGCAACCTCACGGGCTACACAGTGTATCTGGGCTACAAATGAGACCTAGGCCAATCAGCCAGCTAGGACTGTGAACCCAGAGGCCTCAGAGCCCTCTTCAAGCACAGAAGGGAACAGAGGTGTGCAACACTAGCTCCTATGATTAATGGGCAGTCTAAAACTTCACTTGGGGACTGGCCATGACTGATGCAAATACCAGGAACTTCATCTTCAGCCAAGGTTAGGAACTTCTACCTGATGCCTTTCAGGCGTCTGACCCTCAATTCCAGTGCTAGACTGGACAACGGGGATTCTGCCCCCACCCACTGGTCCCAGCCTGGACCGAGAGCTTTGCAGAATCCCAGTACCATCACTGTGTCACTCTTCAGGCTTTTGATACCATCCACAAAAAAGATGAGAAAAGGGGCCCGAGAAACCAGACCAAAGATTTTAGAGGGCCATGTTAAGATTTTAGAAATCAGGATGGCCTCCGTACAAAATAGTTGTTAATAAATACAAGTGTTCTCTTGCCTAGAAAGATCTCAGGGTGAAACCAGCTATTTCAAGATAAGGGAGATCTTCCGTCCTGTGTGTCCCTTAGGCTCTCTCTCCTGTAACAGCGAATCAAATCGACCCATGATGTGATGACAACTACACTGCGGCGGTGATGTGAGGCTGGGCGATGCAATGTGCAATGATGTCATGTCACATCACACACGGCGTGTAGACCGGCCCAGATGAGAGGTTGTGCGAGGAGTCAAGCAAGATCGGAGTCATTGGTGGAAGCCAATGGGATGTTTCACTAGCAATTTTCCACTTCTAGTCCTCGGTCACATAAACAGGATTCTGTTTTTGGCACTCGGGCCAGGAGGACTCATGCTCCAGACATGAGAGCGCTGTTCCCTCCCACCTGCCAGAAAGCTCTTGGCCACAGCCTGACCTCGAGCACACTCCTGCCCCCGCGCTTTGCCGGCTGCCTCCCCTGACCTTGACTTTTTGTTCCCTGGCTGTTTACTGAGATGTGATAAAGAGGCAGGCAGGTATGAAAATCATTTGGCCTCTTTCCAGGGGCGTGTTGCTGCAGGAACGAGCTACCAAAGCTTGCCGAGAATGAAACCTCAGGGCCGGTGAGTCAGTTCAGTGGCTATTAACGTACCAGGAGGCCGAGCCCAGGTTCATGTGGGTGGCCAGACGGGGGACCAAGTGTGTATCACCTCACCCTGGCCCAAGGTCAGCGATGCCCACCTTTTCCAGTCCTTCCTTTATTTCCACACTCACACCAACAGCCTGCAGTTTTGAGAATCGTCTTCATGTACTTTAGTTGTCTTTGTTGGGCAGGTAGCTTTTCTTAGCTTCCGTCAGTCCTTAAAATAGACCTGTGCTGCCTTTTGACATTTGAGAACTTTTTAAAAATCCAGAGTGGTTTCCTCTTCAAGTTGTCAGATAGCATGTTCTTTGTCACTCCTTCTCCACACACACAGACAGACACAAACATATTTAATAAATGTAAACCTCTCAACAAGAGCTCACCGGTGTTCATTTCCTTCAGTCAGGTGCCTTGTGGCGGTGTGGGCCATATCTAAAGTAGCGTGACTAAACTGGTCAGAAATAATGACCAGGAATTCAGCAGCTTCTGTCTTGAGATGCTGAAGAATTTAACTGAGGAACGGCTTGATTTAAGCCCAGTAGCGCCTTAGAGACCAGCAAAATTTGGGGGGTATGGGCTTTCAAGAGTCAAAGCTCCCTTAGTCAAATCTGACATCCCCAAAATCTGTTCCCAAAATCGTGTCGGCCTCTAAGGTGCTACTAGTTGGTCTCTCATTGGTCTCTGCAGTGCTACAGGACTCGAATCTGGCTATTGCCCTGCAGACCAATACGGCTACCTTCTGAAATTAACTGAGGAAGGGGCTGTAGATGAGCGATACAGCATCAACTTGGCTTACAGAGGATCCTGGGTTGGATTCCTGGCTTCTCCACTTGAAAGGATCAGGTGGTAGGTGATGTGATAGACCTTTGCCTGAGGACCTGAAGAGCTGCTGCCCACCAGAGTAGACGATACTGATCAGACAGAACCTTCACGTGTTCAATTACAAATTTCTATGTGCACAGCAACATGCATAAACTGCCAGTGCTGGCTTTAATGGAAATTTTGGCACATACATAATTTTGATCTCTGCACCAGACTGTCTGTCCCACTTCTTACATGGATTTATTGGGGGGGGGGGCTGTTCTACGCTCGGTGCAGTAATGCCTTCTAGAGGTTCCAACCCTTGTGAGAGTACAAATGATGACTGGGCTTTTTCGGTAGCTGCTCCAGTATTACAGGACACTTTCCCTCAGAGGATGTCAGAAGAAAATTGTAGGAAGAGTTTTGGCTCATCTGAGGTGTTTTTAGCACTCAGGCTTTGAAGGGAAAACCGGTGGTGGAAAGTCCTGTCAAGTCACTGCTAATGGCGACCCTGGAGGGTTTTCAGGGAAAGACAAAGGTAGTTCGCCACTGCCTGCCTCTGGCATTTCTTGGTGGTCTCCCATCCAAGCAGTAACAAGGGCTGACCCTGCCTTTTCTCTTGCAGATATAATAAAATCCCTCAAGCTGAGAGAGCATCTCCTTGTAACATTGATGCGATAGAGACAACAACACACATCTTACTCCACTGCTCGATATACAATGAAATTGGCCTGACCTTTGTTTTGCCGATATTACCAAAAGGTCCTGAAAATCTCCAAGGAAGAGATTGTTAATAAAATTCTTTCTGATGAGAACACGGAGACTACTGAGAAAATAGCAAAAATTTGTGCTCAAGCATCTATCTTTCTAAAGGAATAGTGGGAACTTGATATGCATAACTGTCTACCAGATTTTTAAATTTGTGCGTTCAATTTTTGAATATTTTTAATTACGTTACTATTTTATTGTCTTTCTTACGTGTGATTGTTGTATATTTATTTATATACTGGCTGTGGCCTGTTAATAAAATCTGACTGACTGACTCTGCTTAGATTCTGAGATCCAATGAAATTAGGGGAGGGGCTATGACTTACTGGCAGAGCATCTGCTTGGCATGCAGGAGGTCCCAGGTTCAATCCCCGGCATCTCCAGTTTAAAAGATCTGGCAGGAGGTGATGTTAAAGACTTCTGCCGGAGACCCTGGAGAGCCGCTGCCCGTCTGAGTAGACAATACCGACCGTGGTGGACCCACAGCCTGATTCAGCCTACGGCAGCTGTGTGTGTTCATGTGAGACCGGGCAAGCTTGGTCCATCCTGCTTGGCCTCTCTTTTGAATGTGTTGCTTTAATGGCTTCTTTTTAAATGTTTTTATAAGGTATTGGTTTTCTTGTGATTACCCAACCTGGGTCCCTGTTTTCTGAGGAAAAGGCGGTGCCTGTAAAGCTTTCAGATAAACAAATCATAAACTCTCTGTCGCAATCCTTCAAAATCACAGATCTGCCTGCCGATCTCTACGAAATACGGTTTGCGTAAGGCATTTGGCAGTTCAAAATAAATGAATATGGCTAACGTGGCATCGGTGACAGCAACAATAAGCGTCCGTCGTTTGCCAGCAAATGCTGCCTCAAATGGATTCAAAGACGCTCTTGCTCAGATGCAATGTATTGGCATATTTTGTGGGAGGAGTGAAAAGCAACAAAACCCTTTGTTTTCTACCTATTGAATCAAAACTGAGCATGCGGTTTTAAAATGAAGCCTCAAGAGACCATCGTCAAAAAGGTCGCATGCTTATGACTTCGGCCTTCCAGCAAGTTTGAAGACTCAGCAGTTAATATTGTCTTCTCTGCATCTTTCAGACTTTAGAGAACCTACATGCTCTAGCATGGTGCTCAGTGTTCCTTATCAAAAGATTGTTGATCTCCCTACATTGCAGTCCAGGTTCGAGGAGAGACGCAGACTAAGCACTGGCTCTCATGTGTTCACTGTGGTGCCAAACTACGCTGCCACCTGAGCCAAAAACCTGCC